CCTATCTAACAAGTCAGCACTGGGCCTCAGAATCCTTTGCAATATTGGGCCAGGCACGGTGGCCCACGCCTGTAATCCCAGCACTTTGGGAGGTCAAGGCGGGTGGATCACCTGAGGTCAGAAGTTCGAGACCAGCCTGGCCAACATGGTGAAACCCCATCTCTACTAAAAATATAAAAACTAGCCAGGCGTGGTGGTGGGTGCATGTAATCCCAGCTACTCGGGAGGCTGAGGCAGGAGAATTGCTTGAACCCAGGAGACAGAGGTTGCAGTGAACTGAGACAGTGCCACTGTACTTCAGCCTCAGCGAGAGAGTGAGACTCTGTTTCAAAAAAAAAAAAAAATCCTTTGCAATATCATCACTATAGGGAGCTACCCCCAAATGGAGGGAGCTTGCATTTGAGATGAAACCTATTTGCTTTGATAGTATGAGCTTTAAGATTCCTCTTGGTTCCTTCATTCTGTGATTATGTGAATTAAGGATCCATTGAATGTCTTGAGCAGGTGAGTGACACATGAATGTGTCACTTAAGAATATAAATTTGTTAGCAAAATGGAAGAAAAATTGGACATGAAAGGAGCTGGACCTAAGGAAAACAGCTGGTGTACAGGCGCAGTCATTCAGGTAATGTAGAGTGGGTACCGAGAGGCATTTCCGGGGTTCATCAGTAGGGTCTGATGATGATGCCATCTTCTCCATAGGAATCAAATAGCCATATTCACAGTCTCATCCTGACTATCATTTCCTTTAGCCTTTCAAAGAGTTCATATGTATAAAGGAAGGATGGCAATATTTACTGAGTATCTTCTCGGTACCACACATTTTCCCATTTGTAATCACTCATTTTTTGCAATAATCCCAGTTCAAAGGTTTGGAAACAACTAACATAGGAAGGAATTCAATGGATCTAGAATCTGAACTTGACTCTGCCTGACTCAAAGGTGAAGCTCTTCTCAGTATAGCATGTTGTTATCATTGCCTTGAACACTGAAATGAGTCATGAAGAGAGAAAAATGCAGAACCACTTTTAAATCAGAGCAAAGGGAGATGAAATTGCTAGAAAACTACAATTAAAGAAAACTTATAGTATATAGAAAGTGTCATCATCACTTGGTAAGATGACTTTGTCATTGTCACCATTTTGGACATGATCTTATGTTTAGAAAGCGAATAACTTTACAGACTCACAATAGTTTAACCCCTACAATATGATGGTGAGTGTCAGAGCAAAATCCCAGGAATCATGGTTTTATTTCTTTTCAATGCCAAGTGGAAGTCAATCAGAGCTGTGTTTAAATGCAGAGGTACACTGTAATGTGTGCGATGACATGAGAGTATGATGTTTTTGCTGAAGGAATTCCAGTTTGTCATGCCAATGCACATAGTCATTAAAAGCTCTGATGGTTTTGCCTAATCCCAGCAAAGTCTCTCTGCCAATAGCAGGCAAATCTTCCACATGCCCAGGCCTAGACTTGGCAAATGTCTCAGGGAGGCAAAAAGCCACCTGTTTCTGCTCACCAGGAAGTGATGATGCCTTTGTGGAATTTACTTCCTATCTGCATATGTCTCCTAAAAATATATGATTTTCAGTTTATTGATTTTTTTTCTGGCTGTCAGCAGAGACCATGGTCCGTCACAATTTTCTATTGTAACTAGAAGTGGAACTAATAGGATGACATTGTGTATTATGTTTATGTGTCCCTTCTATGGTACTTAATCTAGATTTTCTGGTAGAAGTGAACCTAAGTCTGTTTTGTGTGTGTAGTCTTTTAGAACCAATCTTGTGATTTTTACCAATGTATAACCCTTTTTGAGCTAAGAACTATTAATTTATGAGACGAATTATTTCTTCTATTTAGGTTACCTTACTCTTCAATATTAAAAAGAATGCTTTGATGACTCAGCATTAGAAACATATTGAATGGATTAACTTTACTTACTACCATAACTACCAAAATTGTTATTAAAGGCAATTGTACATTTTATCCCATTGTTTAAAGAAATCTTACCAAACAGTTATTTGATCAAAAAACAGGAATTGTTTTATTAGTACAAGCAACACTTGCTGGTTTTAAGAGTTTCCTACTCATCACATTGAAGTTTCCATTAGTACTTTGAATGGACATTATACCTGCTGTCTACTATAAATCTTACTATGACTGAGGTGGGGTGGCCACAGGGTCTGTGTTTGTCCAAAGTTCCAATTTAACATCCTAACATGCTATGCTTTGGGCTAAGATGGAGTAGCCTGTAGTAAACCAATGCTTCAAACAAGAATAACTTGGGAAGTTGGAACAAAAATATGTTTGAGGGCATGAGAGTTGCAAAGGTAAGCCAGAGTTAAAATCATCAAAGGTATTAGTGCTGTCTTAGAAGGAGTAAAAATACAAATAATTTATATTGGACTCTAGTAAGTCAAAGATGACTGTTGTAATCTTCAGGGTAACTACCCGAAGAATAGAAACATAATGTAAAACTAACAGATGCATATCTAAAACAAAGATAGCAGAACAATATGAAATGTTGATTAATCTCAAGGAAGGAAATATGGGAGAGAAAGTGGAACATAAAGCAGATGGGACACAGAGAAAGCAAAAGTAATATCACAGAATAAGGTCAAATATATCCACAATTACATTAAATATTAATTTTTAGGCTAAATACAAGAATTAAAAGGCAGAATTTATCAGACTAGATTTTGAAAAGTATGTGCTGTGTATATGAGACACACCAAAATAAGGACACAGAAAGAGTGACAGTAAATAGGACTGGGCGCGGTGGCTCGCACTTGTAATCCCAGCACTTTGGGGAGGCGAAGGCAGATAGATCACTTGAGGTCAGGAGTTTGAGACCCACCTGGCCAACATAGTGAAAGCCCGTCTCTACTAAAAATACAAAAATCAGCCAGGTATGGTGGCACATGCCTGTAATCCCAGCTTTCTGGGAGGCTGAGGTATGAGAATTGCTTAAACCCGGGAGGTGGAGGTTGCAGTGAGCTGAGACGGTGCCTGCACTCCAGCCTGGGCAGCAAAGCAAGACTGTCTCCAAAAAGGAAAAACAAAATGAAAGTAAATAATACCATGCAGACTCTAACAGGCCAAAAGATAGTGTAACTGATATTATTATACTAAGATCAGACAAACAATCTTTTAAGGCAAAAAGCACTACTACAGTTAAAGAGATTTCAGAGTGATACAAATAAATCTACCTGTTGGAACTGCAATAAAATGATTAAATAAGAAGTATATATATCATAAATATACTATGTATAACAGTTATGTAAAATAATATTTATAAAAACACATATATAGTAGAACATACATGTTTTGTTTTGCAGAAGACTATAAAAGTACATTTTGCCTCACTGATACAGAAAACTTCTTTTTTTTGTTTGAGATGGAATCTGGCTCTGTCATCTAGGCTGCAGTGCAGTGGCACAATCTCAGCTCACTGCAACCTTCGCCTCCCGGGTTGAAGCGATTTTCCCGCCTCAGCCTCCCAAGTAGCTAGGATCATGGGCATGCACCACCACACTCAGCCAATTTTTGTATTTTTAGTAGAGACAGGGTTTCACCATGTTGGCCAGGCTGGTCTTGAACTCCTCACCTCAGTGATCTGCCCACCTCAGCCTCCCAAAATGCTGAGATTACAGGCAGCAGCCACCGCACCCGGCCAGAAAACTTCTTGAAGATTTTAAGTGCCATCTGACAGCAAGACCAAGTCCAAGTCCTAGCTGTTTGTAACACTTATAACCCTAACCAATTTTTTCACACATGTTCCTTAAGGTTGGTCTTTCAGTTAGGACAGGCTAAGTTATGCTACAGAAATAACCCCCAAATATCATGGCTTCGAACTACCAAAGCTGTTTCCTACAAAGCCTGTGGGCAATCAAGAGGACTCTGAGAGCACTGTTGGCTCAGCATTCCCGGCTGCTCCCATTTTACAGCACCTCCATGGCGTCATGCAATTCCACAGTTACCACAGGAGAGGGAAAAACAGCTAGAGGGTCTCACACTGGTAACTAGATGTAATAGGCTGGAAGTGATGTGTGTCACTTTTGTCTACAATCCTCTGGCCAGAATGAGTTATGTGACCCTGCTCAACGGCAAAGGGTGCAAGGAAGTATAAACTTTCTATGTGCCCAGGAGGAGAGGAGAACTAGGCGTAGGTTAGGATCAGAGGTGTCCACCACAGCTGGAAACTCCTGTTCACATTTCTGAGGTCGTGACCCTCCATAAGTTTCTGGAGCATGACAGTCCTGAAGAGAATCAGAAAGGTTTCTATATACCTAGCTGCTTCATCTCAGAGGCTGACCCCTTTTTCGCTCAAGGAAGGATCTAGCACAAGGCTGCAGCCCTCTCAAGCATCCTCTGCCCTTTCAGTGGTGCTTGGTCATTTACCACAGGGAGTGCCCTCTGAGAGAGGAGAGAACCAGGGGCAACAGGACCCCTCACTTGGGAACACAGAGGCAGGTAACAGTTGTCTTGAGCATCTTCTGACTGGAACACCTCCGACTCTGCACAGAAATAGCCAGGAGCCTGGCACTGGGTTCTGGATTGCCCTTGGCTAGTTGGAAGTGCAGGCTGCTGATCATCTATATCCACATAATTTGACCTAGTCCTTCACTGTTATAGTCTGCCATGACACCATGCTGGATCTGACTCTTTCAACTGGTGAAAATAATGATCCACTTGGCCCCACTCTGCAGTGAACCCTCTAGCTCTTCCAGAACTGGATGACCCAGTCACTTCCCCAGGTCAGGCTGATGGACAACTGATCCAAACAAGACATTTCCCTAATCTTGGGTTAGCAAAATGAGATTACAAAACATTATAGGACTATAGATTTCATAATACGCTTGATGCATTTGAAAATTACCTTTTCTCTGTTACTTGTATTTTCTTCTTCTCTATTGGCAGCAAAAACAGCTTCCTAAAATATTTTTACTTCAAAAGTTAGCACCGAGCTTAAAAATCAGATGATAGTTTACAGCCCTCACCTCTAATAGAAGCCTTTGATGCATTGCTTGAGTTTGCGTAAGCGCATCCCAGGACACTTTCAAGAGCAGTTCCATCTTTCTTAAATTGCGAAAATCCCGTTCTTTCTCTCTTTGCTTACGAGAAAGTTCATCATGGTAGTTCTGCTTGTCAATGAGACTGTTGCGTAAATTCAGATCCAATATACCTCTGTTCCAGGTAAAGGAAGAAGATGAAAGTGATTTGTTATCAGCTGTCCTAAATGTATTTCAAAACTTATCAAGACAGCATGTTGAATATTGGCTCCCAATCTCTTCTGGCAAAGACCTAAAAACAGAACTACCATTCGACCCAGTAATCCTATTACTGGGTATATACTCAAAGGAATATAAACTGTTCTATCATAAAGACACATGCACACGTTTGCTCATCACAGTGCTATTCACAATAGCAAAGACATAGAACCAACCTAAATGTCCATCAATGGTAGACCAGTTAAAGAAAATGTGGTACATATGTCATGGACTATTATGCAGCCATAAAAAAGAATGAGATCATATCCTTTACAGGAATGTAGATGGAGTTGGAGGTCATTATCCTTAGCAAACCAGTGCAGGGACAGAAAACCAAATATTACATGTTCTCACTTATAAGTGGGAGCAAAATGATGAGGATACATGGACACATAGAGAGGAACAACATGCACTGGAGCCTTTCAAAGGGTGGAGGGTGGGAGGAGGGAGGGAGAGAATCAGGAAAAATAGCTAATAGGTACTAGGCTTAATACCTGGATGACAAAATAATCTGTACGACAACCCCCCATGACACAAGTTTACCTGTAACAAACCTGTATGTGTAACCTTGAATTTAAAATAAAAGTTTAATAAAAGACAGCATGCTCAGTATATACATACACAACTATTCTGATATTGGAATCATAAATTGTAAATAATGCCAAAGGCAACTAGGTTTGTGAGTTGGTATCATTTAGAACTGGAGTCTTATAACCCTCACCCCCCAAAAAATAACAGATTAGCAGAGATAGAAGCCTCCAGTTTCCTTGAAATTCTACTTAAAAGCAGGACATAGGCTGGGTGCAGTGGCTCACGTCTGTAATCCCAGCACTTTGGGAGGCCAAAGCGGGAAATCATGAGGTCAAGAGATCGAGACCACCTGGCCAACATGGTGAAACCCTGTCTCTACTTAAAAAAAAAAAAAAAAAAAAAAATTAGCCCAGCATGGTGGTGCGCACCTGTAGTCCCAACTACTTGGGAGGCCGAGGCAGGAGAATCACTTGAACTCAGGAGGTGGAGCTTGCAATGAGCTGAGATCGCACCACTGCATTTCAGCCTGGGTAAGACTCCATCTCAAAAAAAATTAAATTAAAAAGCAGGACATAAAACTCTCCTAGAGAATTACACCATGAAATTACTTCTATTAGAAAAAAGTCAAGATGGCCTAAGAAATATCATTGATTTGTTGGCAAAATCCCTGAACTAAACATAACATAACTCCAGTCACATAATTTTCCAAAGGCACATTCAGAAACATACAACATATAGCAGATTTTGTCCTGAAAATTTGGTAACAGAAAATTGAGAAAATGTATGAGTAAAATATCAAAAAATACTTCAAAGTGCTTTATCTGATAATATATTAATGGTGAAAGTTGACTTAAAATTATTTAAAAATATTAATGACTCAACACCAAAGTAAGATGATGTTTTGAATTCTCAAGTATAAATTGAAGAAAAATTTAGATGACAGAACATAACATACATAAATATAACTAACCTTTCAGTTAATGAAGTTGCTTCATTCTCTCTGGCTAATTCCAATAGCTTGACCAATTGGTTATGTTCTCGTTCTTTGATTTCAAGTAAGGCTCGTTTGCCTTCAACTTCCTTTATTACATTTTCCTTCTCTTCTACTATAGCACTAACCTTGTTTTCAACTTTCTTTAGGGAGTCATTTAGGTTTTTGACTTCTTGTTCCAAGAGAATTTTTTTCTTTTCCATTTCTCTGTAGGGGATACATACACACACACACACACACACACACGTTTGCCTTATTTTGAGGCCATGCTGGCCTTACCTATTCTTGCTTTCTAACCAGGCAGCAGAAGAGATAATCATAAATTCAATGATCTCAGCAGTGGGTAAAGACCACAGATGGGTGGGACTTAGACGGCATCTCCACTGAGTGCCACGGAAGGCAGGAATTTGCCCAGCCTCCCTATTTCTCTGCAGATCCCAATTTGCTACCATCTCCTGTGATTCAGCCCCCATCCTGACCAGCCTCCTGGAATTGATCTGAGTTTCTCAACTTTGGTGTTGGTGAGCTTAGTTTTTAGAACAGTTACTAGTGCCTGCCTAATTTTTCCCTTTCCTCTTAAGATTAGTCACCAGAGTAATCATATTGTTTTCCCAGAATTTTTGCATCTTCACTTAAAATCTTTTATCTTTTTTGGTTCCTCTAAACACTGAGAATTTCCTCAATGACCTCTGCCTCCAAATCTACTCTGAACATCTGAGGGATGTTACACACATGAATGGGTGGCAAAGTGGGGAGTTACTATTATTTGGTCTTTGGGCTGCTGCCTGGCTGATATACTTCTAGACCATGAAATTCTAACCAGTTCACATAATCTATCCCATGTACAGCCCTGTTAAAGTCAATTGAATTTCTCCATAAAAATATGATTTATAAATTGGCAACAGAATCTTGACCCATAATTAAGCCATAAATATTATGAATGATAGTAATTTGGTGCATTACTTTCTTTTAAAGAACTTGATATAAACAACCTAGACATGGCCAAAAGCAGACATTTCTAAAATTATCATAGTAATTTAACATGTCAGTTGTTAGTACTCTCGTTTCAGTGTGCACACATAACTTGGACTGGGAGGGATTCAAAGTAAAAATATTGAATCATACACTTTTTTGCGTGTTATTTTTTCTATCTCTTTTCCAATTTGTACTGGAATGGTTTGATGGTGGGCCACTTCATCCTAGCAAAGAAATGAAATCATGTTAAATTATGTGGTCTTCGAGTAGAAGCAATTAAGACAAGAAAATTAAATATGAGGGAGAAAGGAACTACGATATGTAGATACTTACCATCTGCCCTGTGTGCTTTAATTATCCCATTTAATACTCACAATGACCTTGTAAGATAGCTGTATTTGTTATCCTTTTGAAGAGGAGGTAGCTGAGTGTAGCAAATACTGTTGGTCTTCTGCCCAGATTCCCTTTATGGAGGTACAGATGGTCCTCCACATTCATGCAGTTACATCCCAATAAACCCATTGTAAGTTGAAACTATGTTAAGTCGAAAATCTATTTAATACACCTAACCTACTGAAATCATAGCTTAGCCTAGCCTACATTCTCAGGACACTTTTATTAGTCTATAATCCACCTAACACAAAGCTTATTATATAATAAAGTATTGAGTGCCACACAGTAAATACACATAACTTATTGAATACTGTACAATAAAATTTATTCAATACTGAAAGTGAAAAATGGAATGGTTGCATGGCTACTTGAAGCATGGTTTCTACTAAATGCATACTGCTTTCACACCACTGTAAAGTAGAAAAATCATAAGCTGAACCATCATTAAGCCAGGGCCCATCTGCCCACCCACCCCCCAGATGCTGCAGGGATGACTGCTAATGGTTCATGCTTAATTTCCTCTCCATCAGATTGTCACTGGCTGAGCAAAGCTGCCTTGTGAAGGAATGGGAGCCAGGGGGTGGAGGGAGGAGGGGAGCAAGCTGCAACCAATGACTAACCGATGCGGTGATCTAATAGACACCCCCCACCCCCACCTCTGGGTGCAACAGCCTCCATGATGTAACTTATGACTTCGTGAGTTCTCCATGGGATCAGGCTGAGACTAGAGTTCTCCTGAAGCAGCTGTATTCTGGCCCATCTTCTTCCCCAGCTCTATCCTGCTTTCCTCCATCTCCTATAGGATTCTCCTTAGAGCTCTCCTTCCATTAGTAGTTGTCTTAGGCTCTGTTTCTGGGGAGCCCTGCCTAAGACTCATGCTACAAGAACTTAAATAAGTTTCCCGAAGTCACATAGCTAGTAAGTGGCAAGGCCGAGCTCAGAAGCTAAGTTCGTCTAACACCACACCTCCCACTATGCTCTGTGGATTCACAGGAGGTTCAGTTGAAGTCTCAAGAGTCTTACGTACATGGCAAGGGTTATAGACAAGCACCTTCCTGCCCAAGGATGTCATTGGACTTTGGAGCCGGGGTAACACACATGCAGGGAGGTTGAATCCGTCACTGCAGTGTGGTCGGCGAGACATTTCTCTGTGGGATCTTGCTCAGTCCTGGGGCAGATCACATTTTGTGGGGCTGAAACTTGTACCATCTGGAGGGCCCTCGTTAAGAAAAAGAGTAAAAATTACAAATGCTAACTTAGGTACAGCATCTCGGAAGAGGTTCATGCAAGTGAGGGGCCTGAAGCTTAAGCTTCACTGGGTTTCTGTTAAATCCATCTCTGCTAGGGTCCTGTGCTCTGTTCAGCAGCTGGGCACATCTTGGCTGACTGCTCTAGGACTGTTACAGAAAAATAGGTCAAAGTGTATCACCATGATCCCCTAGGCCAATGAGTTTCAGATGCTGTTTTTAAAACAGCTCTAGGTTAAACTGTTTTGAGAGTTATTTATACATCTTTCAAAGTAAAATGAATTTTAATTCATTATCTCCTAAAACATAAATACAGGCCTCTCATCCCTTTTATAGTGAGAGGAAGTGGAATGCAATCAAACAGACAAGGATAAGGTAATACAAATATATGTGAGAGGTTAGGACATTTGATTGTTTGTGTGTGTGTGTGTGTGTGTGTGTGTGTGTTGTTGTTGTTGTTGTTTTTGAGACAGAGTCTCACTCTATCACCTAGGCTGGGGTGCAGTGGTGCGATCTCAGCTCACTGCAGTCTCCACCTCCTGGGTTCAAGCAATTCTCCTGCCTCAGCCTCCCGAGTAGCTGGGATTACAGGCGTCCATCATCACACACTCGGCTAATTTTTGTATTTTTAGTAGAGATGGGTTTCACCATGTTCGCCAGGCTGGTCTCAAACTCCTCACCTCAGGTGATCCACCCGCCTTGGCCTCACAAAGTGCTGGGATTATAGGTGTGAGCCACTGCACCTGGCCATGGTTTTTCTTCAAGGAAACAATTGTTTGTGACACTCGTTTCTAACGTCCAAAAATGTCTGGTGAGGTCAGGAGAGACCTTTTCACAGGGTGAGGCTCCAAATTAGAGTGATACTCCCAAATACCCTAAGGTCTTTTGTGAATTCCCAGAGCCTAGATTTAGTTTGATAGGATCAATCGCAATACAGACATTTCAGTTTGTGAGACAGTACCCCTCTTTATCCAACCTGCTGGTTACTCTTGATACCCACACACTTTTATATCCATGCAAGGCACAATGTTTAAGTATTAACAGTAAGTAGCACACCTTTAAGACGACCTGATGTTCCAACAATTCTTCTAGTTCCTTCTGCTCCTTTAGTAACTGCTTTTGTTTAGATGCCAAATCTTCTCGTAAATTTTTAATTTCTAATTTCTTCTGCATTACTTCTTTACGTAATTCTTCAGTGCTTTCTCTCAATATTTTCATCTTCTTCTCCATTTCCTTTAAAAGTCATGAGATGATTAGGTTATATAGTCTGAACAAACATTTATCTACCTAAAAACTGAATTAAAACTAATTTCACTCACCATTTTGATTATATTTGTTTTGAGGTTCATGAATGATTTCTCACAAAGTTAAATGATTTCTCACAAAGTTAAATGCAACTTATGATTGCCAACATCTTTAACAAAGGCATGATAATGATACTGCATGTATAATTAAACACGTTAGATTTGAATTCTTTTTTTATTAGTGCTCTTTTCTATTCTCCTACTTTAAAAACGCTTCATTTTACGTGTTAATTTTTATTTCATACCAAGGACGTGAAAAAAAAATGTACAGTCTGTTTTCTAGTAGCTTTGTGATCTGACAAAATCAGATGCAAATAATCTTTGAATATCTGACTTATGGTTAACCTGAGTCACATGGGAACTAAAGATAAAGGTGTTCATATTTGGATACCCAACACTTTGCATCCTTAATCCCCCACTTTCTTATTGATATTACTTCTCTAGCTCATGCACATTCTCCCCAAATACCATCTACCCTAGAATCATCGAAGATCTTTGTCTCATGTCTGATTACCTGTGGTGTGTTTGACTTATGGGAGAGAAGCCTTCTCACACTGAGAAGGTCTACAGTTACTGTTACTAATGACTCAGTGCTGGGTCTATTTAGCCTGCCCTGGGCTTTCTGTATAGCTCCCTCCTCCCACTGCTGCTGGGTGAGAGCATCATTGGTGATCCTAGGATCTGAATGAAATTTCAAAATGTTTTTCCCATAAAATCTGTGTTGTAAATGATGGTTTGGCATACTTATTTAGAATTAATAGTATTTTACTCTATGCTAAACAGGTTTTTGGTGAGCTGGCCTTGGAATTAAACCACCAACAACACACTTTTGGATTATCAGAAGGTGGAAGGAGTGCAAAGTATGGTGATCATTCTATTTACTTTCAATAATAGATTGTAAAAAGTGGCCACAAATTCCTCCTATCTCCGGAGTATGCATGTCCCTTTGCATTGTCTTGATCATTCTTCCCATTAAGAGGTAGGGCCAACTTGATTCTAGACTTGGTCATGTTATAATACTTGCATTGACCAATGGGATATCACGAAAAATGATTTTAGCAGAGACCCAAAAAGGTCTTACATATTGGAGTTTGCTCCTTCTTGAGGCTGGAAACCCTTCCATCATCATGTGACCAACTAGTGACATATGACCTTAGACCAAGTAGCCTGCCAAATGGCTGGTATATGAATGGAGCTATCCTAGTTTACCCAGCCCCAATTTGGCCAGCTAAGACCAGAAGAATTCAGAACTGTGAAAAATACAAAATGGTGGTTGTTTTAAGCCACTAAGTTCTGGGATGGTTTGTTAGGCAGGAATAGACAAGTGATACATTTTCTTTGTAAAAATGTACTGTAATAACTTGAGATGTTCAGAGAGCTATGACTGTAATAGCTACAGCAAAATAATATTTTTAGTGTCAACCACAGAATCTTTTTTTCTTCTGGAAACAAAGCAGACATTGTCCAACTAAATACAGCCTAAATTAGATGCCAAGTTGCTAAGGTCTATAATAGGCATCACTTATATTTACTCCAGAAGTTATGTAGCTAGTCTTTTCAGCATCATTCACAGTTAAGACTTTAGAATCTTTAAATTGTTTCAGGCTATGGTTGTTGTGATAAACATTAATTTTTATAAAAAGGGATGATTGAATCCAGCTGTATTTAAGAAACTCTATATCATCTAAGACTTACTCCTGGCTTTGGTATCTTCTCAAATTCTTTCACTATGATGATTTTTTCTTCCTTTAAGCTGCAAAAAAAAAAAAAAAAAAAAAAAAAAGAAATAAGTTCTTTCTGTAAAAAGTACAAAGAAATAAATTCTTTCTGTAATAACAACTTTCTATCTTCTCATCCCAGAATGCCATTCCCATGCTTGTCTGCCAGGCAACCTGGTGTCCATTCTTTATGATGGTTTTCCTGAATCACAGGTGCATTGGGGTGCTTCCTCCTCCCCAGGACTCCCACAACTTTGTGAACACACACTCACTTAGAGGAATTACCTCAGCACATTATAAATGTTGGGGACCATGGGCCTACCCCTGGGACACAGGGTCCTTCCCGGCAAGCTCTGGGCTTTTTCTTTATGTCACTTGGACTGGGCTAGTGCCTGCCTGGATTCCTACTACAGCCTCCCAATTGATCTCCTACTTTGCCTGCCTCCACCTTTGCCCATTAAAGTCAATTCTCCACCCACACCACAGTGATTTTTTGACATGTAAATAGATCACCTCGTTTCCCTGTTTGGTAAATTCCCATCACACCTGGACCAAAATTTGAACTCCTTTCCCACACCTACATGGCCCTGCCTCATCTGCCTCTCTAGTCTCACGGCCTGCCACTCTCTGGCACCAGTCACACCGGCTTTCTTGCCAAGCTTGTTTCTACCTCAGGGCCTTTGCCCTATCTCATCCCTCCAACGGGTATGCTTTCGCCACAGATCTTTGCATAGCTCACTTCTTGCTTCATGCAGACCTGTACTGATATCACCTTCTCATAGAGGTGCCTGGCCATCTAAAACAGTACCAACAGTCCTCAAACTCTTTCCTCGTTTTGCTTTACTTTTCTATATAGTATTCATCATGACCTGACATTGTGTTACACATTTCCCCACTAGAAAACCTAGCTCCCAATTTACCACTGCATCATCGTCTTAACAAGTGCTTGCATATAGTTGCCATCCAGTAAAAATTAATATGAATAAATGGAACAACTGAAATTAGTTTTGTTCCCATCTTCGTTATTTAAAATGATGTATGTGCTGAATGAGATACGGGCATGCATATGCAAATAGATCATCACTCAGAATGACCTGTTGCACCACATTCTTCTACATCCAGATTGCAGAAAACCCTCACAGAAATCACAGAAGGGAAGAGTCCACAGTTGTTCAAAGGTGTGAAGAAGGGTTATTTGAAGAGCTCAGTTTCAGTTGTGTGTGACAATTGCATTCCTGAGGTATAACGAATGCTAGAGCCAGAGGAAACTTCAGAGATCCAGATGTGATAGGGACATGGATACACAAGAGACTGAATGAGTATTTCAGGTGAAGGGCAGATTTAGAGCAGGAGCCAAGTCTAAGTGGTTATTAGATATGGGTATTTGAGGACAACTATTTTTACTTTTGTTTCCACTACAAGCTATTAAAACTGTGACATGAACTCATAAGCAGTCCAGGTGGGCACACGTTGTCTACACTTCTATCCTGACCCATTGCCATGTGTTTGCTGCACCATTTTCCCTTCCTGGACACACAGGGTGACTATATTTCACAGTCTCCCTTGCATTTGGATTGGGGCCATTGGACTAATTTGCCCAAGGAAGGTGAGTGGAAGTAACAAATGTCTTCCCCAGCCGTGTTGAACTTGGAAGGCACATGCTCCAGCTGGCAAAGCTTAGGATCGAGGTGGCTGCATGACTTGCACTGGACTGTGCTATGAGCCAGAAACAAAATTTCATTTAGTTCTTCCGCTGAGATTTTAAGATTTGTTCTTACTGCATAGCCTAGTTGAAGCCTAACTTCTCCTTTTCTTATTCTGTATACCGTTTCCACAGTGCCAGCTACAGTGATGAGTTAAACATCCTTATTTCCAGTTCAGAATTTCCCTGGAGCTCCAAATTTTTATGTTCAGTTTCTTACTGGGAAATTCCAGTTGTGTATCTCAAAGGGCCCTCAAATTAAAACTCATTATCTTCCCACCTGAAACCTACTGTTTTTCTATTCCTTCTTTTGGTAATGGCATTTCAAGTCACTTAATTTTCAAAATTATAAATATGAGCATCATTCTTGAAACCTGTTTCTTGCTTCTTTCAAGATTTTTTCTTCATTTTTCAGTTTCGAGTTTTACTGTGATGTATTTGGAACACATTTCTTTGAGTTTACCCTGTTTGGGGCTCATTGAGCTTTTTGAATCTATGGGCTTTTCTTTCACCAAACTTGGGGAGTTTTCAGCCATTGCTACTTCAAATTTTTTTCATAATCATATACCTTCTCTTTCTGCAACTCCAGTGACATGAATGAGATGTTTTGCTGTTGTCTCATGGATGCCTATAGATCTGTTGTTGTTATTTTTGTTTGTTTGAGATGGAGTCTCGCTCTGTCGCCCAGGCTGGAGTGCAGTGCAGTGGCGTGATCTTGGCTCGCTGCAACCTCCACCCTCGTGGGTTCCAGCAATTCTCCTGCCTCAGCCTCCCGGGTAGCTGGGACTATAGGCGCGTGCCACCATGCCCAGCTAATATTTGTATTTTTAGTAAAGACGGGGTTTCTCCATGTTAGCTAGCCTTGTTTCAATCTCCTGACCTCAGGTGATCTGCCTGCCTCGGCCTCCCAAAGTGCTGGGATTACAGGTGTGAGCCACCGCACCTGGCCATGGATCTGTTCGTTTTTATTCAATTTTTTTTCTCTGTTCAGATCGGACAATTTTTATTTATCTTCAAATTTACTGACATCTGTGTGAGAGAAAGAGCACAAGAGCAAGCAAGCAAAAGGACTTTTTAATTCTCTTGAGAATCACAGCTCCAAAGGTTCCCTTCCCCAGTATTTTGGCTCCTGTGGGCTCCCATCACATATGACTCTGCCACTGCTGCCTCAGTGTTGCTTGGAAGCTGAGGTATGAGAGAGTAGAGAGGAATTAAAAGCTAAACAGGGGTCTGGACTCTCTCTGAGCATCATGAGTTCCTTGCTTGTTCCTTGAGCCAGAATTAAAGGGCTTTTCCTGGAGCTCTGTCTCTCCAGGTCAGTGTTCGTCTCTGGATTTCATGCAGGTTAGCATTCAGGTTAGGGGATACCAGAGGGGAAAAAATAATAAATTAACCACAGCTCAATGCTACTTTTAATCCTGACCTTCTTCCCCAACCTGCCTGTCGTGATTTACTTTTCAGAGTCCTCAAATAGACGCTCATGCATTCCACTCGATTTTATAGCTGTGTTTAGTGGGAGAGACAGGATGAAGTGGGCTTACTCCATCTTACCTGGAATCACAGCCCATGAGATGATGTTTAAGATCATAGGACTGGATGGGATGGATCACTTCGGAATAAACTGTAGATAGAAACAGGAAGAGAACTAAGGACTGATTTCTGGGATTTCAAAATTTAGAAATCCAGAAAATGAGAGACTAGTAAAGGAAAAGCAAAATATTTCTGGTTTCCATTCCTGTATGTAAGGAGCTTAAAGGCTCCACTCTACCTTAACAGGTAAAAAACTGAACAAACTGAAAAATCAACAGCTCTTCTTATATCCATAAGAGAAGTGAGGTCACACACAGGGCAAACTACTCTCCCCAAAATTGGAGACACAGAAAGTGAATACAGAGAATCACAACTTATTGGAGTAGACACCCATAAGCAGAAACTTGGGCAGGAACCAGTGCTGGGTAGAAAAATCTAAATTGTAATTGATGAATTGCTGGAGGTTTGGCGTGGACATGTCTGAGAGTAAAAATCCCCAGTGGGACACAGTTTTGTGAGTTTTACCTCCAGGAGCTTAACCAAGTCTTCTCAGTATCAGAAAAATCTCCTTGCGTTCCAGCAGGGGAGGGAAACAGAAGTACTTTGACATGCCAGAGTATTCTGCTCTTTTTAACAGGCCCGCCCTGAGCAACTATAATTAACCTGCTGGGGTTTGATCGGAGTCTAACTGACCTAGGGAAGTGAAACACCCAACTACAGCTGGCTGTAGCCTTCCACAGGGAGAAAGGGAAATACCTGATTCCAGCCCACTCTAGCCATCCTGTCTTTCCTAAGGGGGTCTGGAGGGTGGTGGGAAGTATTGATGAAGTTCACAGTTCAGAGTCACAGACTAACTAGAAGACTGAGACCTAATCATAGCACCGTAGAATGCTCCCCTCCCTCCACACCTCACCACCATGTTCCTGCAGTCCTCTTTAAAGCAGTTCCTTTTATCCAGTACATCATGTCTGGCTACCAAGAAAAAAACTGCAAGGCACACTAAAAGGCAAAAAACACAGTCTGAAGAGACAGAGCAAGCATCAGAACCAGATATGGCAAGGATGTGTGAATTACCAAGAATTTAAAACAACTATGACTCATATGCTAAGAACGCTAACAGATAAACTTAATCACAAAATGGGCATAAGTAGAGAGATGGAAATTCTAAGAAATAACAAAGAAATACTCAGCCAGGAGTGGTGGTTCATGCCTGTAATCCCAGCACTTTGGGAGGCCCAGGCGGGCAGATAACTTGAGGTCAGGAGTTCAAGACCAGCCTGGCCAATATGGTGAAATAATCCCATCTACAAAAAATACAAAAATTATCTGGGCACGTTGGCGGCCGCCTGTAATCCCAGCTACTCAGGAGGCTGATGCAGGAGAATCTCTTGAACCCGGGAGGCAGAGGTTGCAGTGAGCCGAGATTGTGCCACTGAACTCCAGCCTGGGTGATGGAGTGAGACTCTGTCTCAAAAACAAACAACAACAACAAAAAAAAAAAGAAAAGAAAAAAAGAAAGAAAAGAACTACTCAAGATCAAAAGCACTGTGTCAGAAATGAAGAATGCCTGTAACAGGCTTACTAACAGAATGAACTTGGGTGAGGAAGGAATTTCTTAGCTTGAAGATATCTAGACACTACCCAAACTAAAAAGAAAAAAAAAAAAAAAAAAAAAAAGACTAGGAAAAAACCAGAATATTCAAGAACTCTGGGACAACTACAAAAGGCATACATACTCATAACAAGAATACCAGGAGAAGAAAGAAAGGAACACAAGAAATTCCTTCAAATTAATGCAGGAAA